TTTGTCAGTTCATTTCCCATTCTGCAGCCAGAGGGTCCCTGGCCCTGCTTACTCCTCCAGAGGTTCCCAGTGCTTGTCACAGTGGCCCAGGTAGCCTTCTGTTGTCTGAACCCCCACCTTCCTGCTGTCTCACTATTCCTCATGGCTCCAAGCTTGTTCCTGGTGCCGAGCTACGTCTCCAACTAGCAGGCTCCTCTCCTGACATTCAGCACAGGCTTTACCCCTCCAGGGAGTCTCCCTAACAACCCTCTGATGGCCTCCAGCTGGCTCGGGATTCTGCAGGCCCCATCACCACCCTGATCACCCCATGTTCTAACACCCCCTGAACTGAGGGACAGCTGGCCGGGACCATGGGCTGGTCCTGGCGATGTCTTGGGGAGGTCCACTTTACAGATGAGAAAACTGGGGCCCAGAGAAGGGCAGCCACTTGTCAGCATCTCTGCATCTGACCCCACCCTGAGTTTGGGGTTCAGGACTTGGTACTGGGGACTTTTCTCCCACAAAGGTTAATTTTCACACATGTAAGGACAGACAAGGAAACAGAAGTTGGGGTTCGACTTTTATTGCTGTCTCCATGGGGGTTGGCTGGGACAGTCGGGGTGGTCAAACAGTGGTCTATGGACACAGGGTACAAGAAGCAATTTCTGGAGCAGATCTGCCCTGCTTCTGCCCAAAGCTCCGCCATCACAGCTTGGGGTCTATGGGAGGGGGTGACTCAAGGGTTACCCTCGCCCCCACTGTGCTCAGCACAGAGCGGATCCAGTCCACGTAGAGGGAGACTCGGGCAAAGAAGTCGGGGTACTGACGGGTGGCACATTCCCGGATCACAAAAGAATCCACAGCTTGCAGGATGCCATCACAGATCAAGGGGCCTCCGGAGTCCCCCTGGGAAGGGCAGGGAGGGCTGGTCACTCAGCCAGGCAGGGCCGAGGTGGTCAGACACTGACACATCAGACAGGGGCAAGTTAGTGGGGGGCAAAACACCATTTTGGGATGAAACTACTTGAGCCCAGAATTTTCTTTAAAACACCAGGATGAGAGAGGATCTGAGGCTACTTTGGAGGAAAGCAGACACTTATTAGCTTCCTGCTGTATACCCGAACCACTGGTTTCTGGGTAGAGGTGCCGGAATCAAGCCTAGGCAGGTCACCTTAGAGGGGACCCAGTAGAGACGCCCCGCCCATGCTCTGCCTGTCTCTAGATGGGGAGACTGAGGCAGATCCCGTACTGTTGAGTGAGGAGGCAGGATTGGAACCCCAAACTTCCCCTCGGGTCCCTCTGCTCCCTCCAAGTGGCCCACGGTGGGTGGGTACGTACGAAGCAGATGCCGGCGCTGCGGCGGGGGACCAGCGTGCACACGTTGTGTGGCCGGCACAGGAAGGTGACTACGGTGACATTGAGCTCCTGTAGGACTCGGGGAATTGGCAGGTGGGTGCCCAGACGGCCCCAGCCCATGGCGAGGCACTGTGTACCGTGGGGCAGCTCCTGATCCTGTCGAGGGAGCGGGGCCACCGCCACCTGGGCATTGAGGTTGGCCGGCCGGTCCAGCTGGGGCAGGAGAGTGGGTGGTGAGACCCCCTCCCAGGTCACCGTACCCACCACCTCCCGCAACACTGGTGCCTGGAGTCCACCGTGGGACCCTGACTTGAGCTCACGCTCCTCCCCCTCAGGTTGCCCTTCACCTCCTCCTGGGAGCCTCCCTGGATTGACCCTTCTATCTTCTGGACCTCTGGGCTCCTCGGGGCAGCATTTCTCACTAGTTCATTCTTTCATTTACAAAGCACTTAAGGGGAGCACCAGCTATGTGTCCTGTTCTAGGCTGGGGGTCCAGCAGTAAATACATGGACAGAAACCATCTTGTGGGCTCCTATATCCTGAACCCCCATGGACCTGTCTTCTGAACTCCCCCTGGGCCCCCATCGCCTGTACTTCCCCTGTGGATGCCCATCCCCTAAACCTCAACCCCGGCCCCCATTTCCAGTCCCCCGTGGACCCCTGGGCCCCACCTGCAGAAGCAGCACATCATTGAGTTTCTCCTCTGGGTCGTAGTTGTTCTCAAACAGACGCGAGACCGTGAACCGCTGCTGGGAGGGCTCGGGGGTCTCCAGATCATGGGCCCCCAGCACCACGCTCACCCGGGTGGGGTCCCTGAGGAGGCAAGGCACTCGTGACCCCTTCCTCTCAGACCCCTGATCTCCAACCCACTGTGCTTCTCCTACCCCTGGTTCAGAGACCAGGGCAGAATTGCCTCCCCCCTCAGATCCCCACAGTGAAGGTCCCTCCCCCTTCAGACCCCACAGTAATGTGCCTCCCCCCTCAGGCCCCCCGGTGATGATGTCTCCCCCCTCAGACCCCCACACTCACATTTCCTTTAGGCAGTGGGCAGCCGTTAGAACGAACCTCGGATGGATCAAGGTACCTCCACAGAAGTGGGAGCTGGGGGTCCCCAGCAACTGCAGTGAAGCCATGTAGGGCCTGGAGTGGGGCTCTGAAACCCGGCCGCCCACAATCTCGGTGGCCTGGGATGCACCTGGGGGGCCAGGGTGTCAGCATGGGGAGCAGGGACAGAACCACTGTGTGACCAGACCCCTGGTGCCTCGGCCTCTCCATCTGCATAATGGGTATGCTGTGCTGGGCCAGGCTGGGGGAGTCAGCTCCTGATGGTCAGGATTGCTCCTGTGGTCTCCGGGGAGGAGGGGGGCCCTGGGTCCTGCCCTCCAGGGAGGCCTTTAAAAGGCACTTTCCACATGCATGGACAAACTGAGGTATGTAGGTCCTCATCAGGAGGGCGACTACCTGATTCATTTCTGTAGACTTACTGAGCACTTACTGTGTACCAGGAACTTGTCCTCTTGAATCTCACATCTCCCTGTGAGGGGGCACTGGACGATGCCCGTTTATAGATAGAGAAACTGAGTCCGACAGCCCAGGGACTCCTCTCTTTCTCTCCTTCCTGCTCCCCTGGATATTAGTCCTGAGCAGCAAATCGGGTCCTGCCCTGGTCCTTCCTCAGTCCCCGTCATGGGTTGAGCTGTCACCCCCAAAATATGTGTTTTAAATCCTGACTTCTGGGCCTGCATTTAGAATCCTGTTAGGGAATGGTTCTTTGGGATGTTAATGAGATGTGATTAATGTACGGTGTGTTTTGAGTCAATTTCTTACAAAATAGAAAAGGCGTTGATGAGGGAATCAGAGCTGGGGGGAGAGAGGTGACAGACCACATGAAGATTGATCGCCCAGGAACAGAGACTCAAAGAGACAAGAACCTCCCCAGAGTGGACAAAGAGCGAGCCTTCCTTCCCCTAGAGCCGGTGCTAAACTGTGAGGCAGGAGCTTTCTGTTTGTGAGAGAGCCCCCCTACCCACCACAGCACTGGATAACGAAGACACTCCCCTTCTGTCCATGAGTGATGGACAGTCCCCCAAGGGCCCAGATGGACGATGTCCCACTCACCACCCAGCAGCACAGCCATTAGGAGAGGGGTCAGTGCAGGACAAGTGGGTCGGCTCCTGTAGCTCATGATTAGGCGTGGGCTCTGGGTCACTGGCCTCCTCCCTGCCCACCCCCTCTTATAGACCCGACATAGAAGGCCGTTGTGGTTGCCCCATGGCAGGGCCGGATGTCTCCACTTCTCCTTCCACCGTGGAGGTCACAGGGATTGGGGAATCTCAGAACCAGGCTGTAGACTAAGAGAGTGACTTGGTGGGGGCTTTGGGCTCCTCGGTGTTCAGTGAGGTGTGGAAAGCTGAGGTCTGGGGGTCTCCTGGACATTACAGTGACACATGTGCACACCCACCCCACCCCCATAGAAGGTCCCAAGGTGGCAGCAAAACTGAATATCCAAGAAATGGACTCCCTGCCCAGTTTTTGTATGGGGGGGGGTCACTTCTTCCCTTTATGGAAGTGATTCTCATGGGGGAGGGGTGCCGATTCTGCCTCAGCGGACACTGGGCGGGGAGAACTGTTGGCATCAACTGAGCAGAGACCAGGGATGTCACTCAACACCCCAAAGTGCCCAGGGTGCCTCAAATGATCAATTCCCACGTGCTGGCAGTGACTAGGAGGGGAAACCAGGGTGGAAGGGGTTTTACTTACTTTTTTTATTGTTGCAAGAGGAGCTCTGGTAGCATTGTTGTTGTTGTTGTCGTCAGGTGCCATCGAGTCGGAACCG